GAATGCCAGCAGCCGACTCCCTCCGCTGCGCCCCCCCACGCCCCCCCCAGAACAACAAGTTCCCTTCGGTAAGACCCCCCTGCGCGCCACTGGCAGCCCCGGCAACCCCTCCCAGACCTCTATCAAACTCGTCGCCAACACACCTTCGGTCAAAATCAAAGCTGCTACCTACGCTCTTTGGAGGCGGGAGAGACCGCGCTCCTTGAAGAGCGCTTGTGGTGGCTGGAAGAGAGACAGAAGGCGTGGGAAGATCCGGACAGACGGAGAGGAGCCCCAGTCCGCGCCGCGCTTCAAGGCAAAAGAACAACCCAGAGCACCCACCGCTCATCTCACGCCTCTCTCCTCCTGTGATCTGAGAGAGGGGATGCCACTCGGAATCGCGCTTACCTCCCCTTAACCTCCCAGTCCTCTGGGAGCCAAATCACAACCCTCTGTCCCTCGGATTTCCCTAGCCCCAGTTTCTTTCCGAATTCTCTCTCCACCCCAGCCGGCACCAGGTCCTGTAAGGACACCAAAGATCCCTGACACAGACACTTCGCGGGAAGAGCAGCAGGTTACCCAGGGCTCCCGCCCAGCACTCTCCTTTTCCCTGTCTTCCCAGCATGGGTGCCCAGGATGGAGTCTCCCAAGAAGTCAGGAGGCGTCCATGTGGGTAGCTTCATGTCCTTGCCCAGAGAGCTGAACTCTGACAACTTCTTAGAACGGGGATCCTCGCGCTCTCGTGGGAAAGCCAGGCTAGCCGCCCACATATTAGGAGACTAGACCTCCACTTCTCTTTGGCAATCTCCCTCTAAATCTATCCCTCGGACTCCTACAACCGGAGTTGAGACCTAAGGAGCAAACCAGGAGTGCGTTGCCGGGGTGGGCAAGCAGGGGTGGGGGCCAGAGCGCAGACCTTCCAGGATCTTGGGGAGATCGGTTCATAATTTCCAACTCTCCTAGTCAAGAAGCTGGAGGGAAATGCTCCCTGCGCGGGGTCGGAGAAGCCCCGAGGTGAATTGTAAGGTCCCAGCCTGAGCCCTGAAGGTAGGAAACCGTTTCCTCCGAGAGATGGGGGTGGGGGAGACATCCCGGGCAAAGCGGCCAACACCAAGCCCAGCTGTTCAGAGCTTCATTCCCCCATCCCCTGGCAGCCTCGTGAACTTGGTACCTCGGACAGCAGCCTGGACGCAAGGCATTCTTGGAAAGGTATTAATCCTTATTTGGCCACCCAGTCAAAGAACAATAAATTATTTTTATGACCTTACTAGTGCAGATGAAGGACATTTTAATTACATAACCCGTGAAAAATCACCGGAGGCAGTTTCGTGTTAAAGAGCCGTTGGCAGAATATCTGCATCGCATGAGAAAGAAAACTTGCAAATCTGCAACGAGATTGCGCAGAGCTGCCCCCCTGTTTGGAAACCACACGAGAAAATGCATGGGAGATCTTACCTTTCGGACTCCAAAGCCGTGTTCTGCTGCAACTTGGCGAGCTTCTTCCTCTCCCCCTTTATGCAACTCCACAAGAAAATGATTCGTGAAGACCGGTCTTTCGGCAGATGCAAAAACCATGACACAGAAGAGGAGCCCAGAAGCCACCTTCCACTGGGAGCCACAACCTCCCTTCATGCTTCTTTGGGAGTGAAAAGTGGTGCTAGGAGGCGCACAGGCTGGCGGAACAGGGGACCCGGAGGGAAGGTGCAAATAAAAAAAATAGTTTTGTTTTTTTTTTTAAAATTTTGTATAGAGAAATTGACTGAATAGGGGCTTCGAAAGCAGCAAATTCAGTGTGTGTTCTTCCCCACCATCTGGCTGGCGGGGACGCCGTGCAGTCCGGTGGCCCGGCTCGCTGACAGGGGTGCAAATGTGGGAGCTGTGTGTATTGGAGAGAAAGAACGAGTGTATGTCTGTACTTGATGCTAAATCTGCATTTTCAGCTCCTCCTCGGCTCCAATCAGGGAGGTAAGCCCGCGCCCCCGCCCCTTTCAGCACTCGGAGAGCTCTCCATCTCTGCCCGAGTCAGCAGTGCACCCCGGAAAATCCCCCCAGCTGTAATCAGGCCAGAGGCACCGGAGTGATGTCATTGTTTGTGGAAATCTGTCTGGCTCTGGAAAGGGAATTACAGAGTGTGTCGCTCTCTGAGGCCCCGAGAGGAGCTGGGGCACCCGCCTCTTCCTTGCAAAACAACGAGCTCTCTCTCTCTCTTCCTCTTCCTCTCTCTCTCTGTCTCTGACTCTCTCTCTCTCTCTCACACACACACACATACACACACACACGGCGTACTGCCTTCCGTTCTCCCGATAACAAAGCAAATATTAAACCTCCTCCTGCTAGTTTGCAATTCCCAGGGGGAGATTTGTTCCCCTTTCTGGCCCACGGAAGGTTTTTACTTATTTTTATTTTTTATTTTATTTTATTTTTTGAGAGGTTTTTGGTATAGCAGTGACTCGGGGAGGCAGGAGAGCAGGATCCAGCTATTTTATTTTATTTATTTTGTAGGTCCAGGCAGGGTAGGAACAGAGCAGCTGGGAAGCCAGGCAGGAGACAGGCGGA